CACCCGGCTCGGAGCGCAAAAACACGCGCGCCTGCGCTGATCCCACGCGCCCCCAAATTGGCGCTAGAGTAAGGACAGCCAGTGGCAGGCAGGCTGCTTAAGTCTGCTGAGCCTAGCTGAGTGCCTCAATTGCACGCGCACACCTTTGACATATGTCTTGATGTGTGTCCCGCAAGATTTGGCGGCTCAGAGCATCTCATTCTAGAGACTGTACTTGGTGAAGCAAGAAGCTCTCAAGCGCCCGGCGGGCGACATACCGAAGCGGCCAGCGTGCGAGGAACACGCACGCGCACCTGAGCACGCGGCACGCGAGTGCAGGCACATGAGCACACACACACACACAGCAAACAGCCGGGGGGCAAGCTGACCGCATTCCAGCTGTCGGAAGCTGAGCCATGGCGCAGTCCATCGTATTCACGGACGTTACCCTGCCGAAGAAGAATGGGCGGCTCACCGCGCAGCCTCTACGAGAGTTCTTGCTAGACTACTGCGCATGCAGGCAGGCAATGACTCTGAGACAAGGGCCTCTGAGCTGGGAGACAGTAGGCGTGGAGACTTCCAAGGAGTTAAACCCTGCGCTGAAGACGTGGCAAGACTGCCTACAACGGCATAAGTATGTTATGGCCTTGCAGAAGTTCGAGCGACATGGCACCTTGCTGGACAAAAGGCTGAAGCTAGCCAGTCGCAAATGTGACTGCTGGATGCCGTACATTGCAGGGATGAGTGAAGAAGCCTTAGACGTGGCGCTTGCGCCAGGAGCCCCCGAGCGCCTCACGGATCTGGTGCTACATTTGCGGAGCGCAGGGAAGCCCCTTCTACATTCACGATTCGTGTACGGGAATTCCTTGGAAGGACAAGTGGCTGCAGGCTCACGTGATGGCCTACTGGGATACAATTTGTGCCCAGGTGCAGTGGCCGGGGTCTCAAAAATGGCGATTCACCAGAGATGGCAAAAGCAGCCGCACATTGGCAGATTCTACTCGCAGCACGGAATGATTATGTTCTCGGAGGGTGGTCAGACAGCGACGCTGCGAAGAAAGCGGATGAAAGACGTGAGCTCCTCTGTTTGTCTCGGCGATGGAGCGATGCGGCTGCTGGGCCTGCTGCGCTCGGAGAGCGGTAGCCCGCCAGATGTGCGATTCAGCGCTGCCAACGCAGAATGGATTACCAAGGCAGTGCTGAAAGAAAGAGAAGTGTTTGCTTTGATGGCGGAAAGACGGTTCAAGCAGCATCCAGAACTTCTCCCACTGCCTGTCAGCAGGTCACGTCACTCGGGGAAGCATCAATACACATACATCCCCGAGTTGTTTGGAGATTTTTTATGCGAGTCGGCTCAATTGCTTTGTGCTTTGTTGAGCGGAGGCGCGGCCGGGCGTCGCAAAGAGCCATGGCAGCGACCAAAGCCCTGGCCCGACAGCTTGCCATCACAGTGGGCCTCCAAGAGGCAGCGCGCGCGCTGAGCTGTGCTGCTGCGGGGAGAGTCTTCTGAAAGGGTTTGCAGCAGTAGAAAAGTCACCCGGTTAGCGCGCGCGGGGAGGGGGGGGGGGAGAGAGTGAGAGTTTTTGTAAAGCAATGGCAGAAAGACAGCCACGAATCCAGATTGTCATGCAGATCAGGGCAGCGTGGAAATGCCTTCGCAGTTAAAAGAAGGAAAACGGTGACCGCTCCCAAGGGCCCGCTTACCTGCAAGTGCAAAAGGGCTTCATATGAACAAAGTTTTCGTGGCTGTGGCGGGGCAAAACGAGAGTGAACATATCAGGCCCCCCAGAGGCACACTGACTGGGAAGCTTCCTGTGTAGACACTTCGTAGGCAGAATCTGACGGCTTGCCCGCTCACCTCACCAACAGCAAGGCAAGCAGGCAGGCAGGCAGCAAGGCAAGGCAGGCAAGGCAGGCAAGGCAGGCAGGCAGGCAGGCGGGCAGGCAGGCAGGGCTGGGCAGGGCAGGGAAGCTGCCTGTCGTCTGCTTCCGCAGCCGGCGCTCAGCCCGTTTTCGCGTCGGCTCCGCGTATATAGGCCCTGCGCGCGCTCGCATAGGCGTGCCTCAAGCCTCATTGATGTCGACAGGCAAGCCTTCCTCAAGCTCGAGCGCGCAAGATTTAGCACAGCGCGCGCACCGTCTAGGCAGTTGCAAGCAGGCTGAGCGCAAAAATCCCTTCGCGCAGGCGCGCGTAGGCACGGTCAGGACTAGCCGCATCGCGCGTAGGCCTGCGCGTATGGCAAAGGCAAGCAGGCAGGCAGCAAGGCAGTCAGCAAGGCAGGCAGAGGCAGGCAGACAGGAGTAGGCAGCTTGTAGGTCCAAAGCAGGCTGGGGCTCCTCCAACACGCCGACCCCTTTGCTGCTGGAGGGCGGCAGAGAAGTTAGCTGCTGACGCAGAACATAAATCAGCACGCCGCAGGCTCCTCTTCAGGCACAGGACGCCAGGGGCTCCTAGCTCACCACTTGAACTTCAGGATGCTGAAGGCTCCTCCTCAAAGCCGGCTTGGCCGCTTTGCGCTTGAAGACGCCGCAGGCTTGCCGGTCAAGATCAGGACGCCGAAGGCTCCTTCTTCACAGCGCAACTCCGGACGCCAAAGGCTCCTTCTCAAGCAGGCTGCTTCTCCCGGGCCTTCCCGGTCATTGCTCGTCATCTTCCCAACGCCTTCCCAGTCTTTCCCCGCAGCCTTCCCGGTCATTGCTCAACACCTTCCCGGTCCTTCCTCAACGCCTTCCCGGTCTTCCCCCCCAGCCTTCCCGGTCTTTCCCCGCAGCCTTCCCGGTCTTTCCCCGCAGCCTTCCCGGTCATTGCTCGACACCTTCCCGGTCGTCTCCCGGGCCTTCCGGGGCTTTGCTCGACGCCTTCCCGGTCCTTCCTTGACGCCTTCCCGGTCTTTCCCTGCAGCCTTCACGGTCATTGCTCGACGCCTTCCCGGTCATTGCTCGGTCCTTCCTGGACGCCTTCCCTGTCTTCTCCCGGGGCCTTCCCGGTCTTTGCTCGACACCTTCCCCGTCCTTCCTCGACGCCTTCCCGGTCTTTCCCCGCAGCCTTCCCGGTCTTTCCTCGCAGCCTTCCCGGTCATTGCTCGACACCTTCCCGGTCCTTGCTCGACGGCTTGAGCCTTCCCGGTCTTTGCTCGGGGCCTTCCCGGCCACTGCGCGACACCTTCTCGGTCTTTTTCCGGGGCCTTCCCGTCCTTCCTCGACGCCTTCCCGGTCTTCTCTCGGAGCCTTCCCGATCATTGCTCGACGCCTTCCCGGTCCCCGGTCCTGGCTGTGGCTGGGCTTGCCCGGTCTTTTGTCCGCAGCGTCCCTCCAGGTTGCCCACCTGGGCCTTTGGCTGGGCGCATTTCCGGCTTCGGTCCGCCAGCAGTCTGCATAGATCTGACTCGCGCAGTGCGCTTGTCACAAACGCACTGAATGCTCGATGGCAAAGCCAGCCTTCCCGGTCCTTCCTGGACGCCTTCCCTGTCTTCTCCAGGGTCTTCCCCAGACTTTGCTGCTTCCTGGAGGCCTTCCCGGTCTTTCCCCGCAGCCTTCACGGTCATTGCTCGACGCCTTCCCGGTCATAGACCCCTAACTGACTAGCGATGGCAGCGTGGCACTTTCTCCTGATGTTTGGAGCATACTTTCCACAGCCAGATTCCGAAGCATAGTTTTCGAAGCAGTCAGCGACCCCCCCCCCTGTCCCGACCCCAGGAGGCCACAGAAATACCCCAGCCGCAGAAGCGGCGCGGCCGCAGGTCATGGGTCTGCATAGATCTGACACATGCAGTGCGCTTGTGACAAACGCACTGAATGCTCGATGGCAAAGCCAGCCTTCCCGGTTTTTTTTGGACGCCTTCCCTGTCTTCTCCAGGGTCTTCCCAGTCTTTGCTGCTTCCTTGAGGCCTTCCCGGTCTTTCCCCGCAGCCTTCACGGTCATTGCTCGACACCTTCCCGGTCATAGACACCTAACTGACTAGCGATGGCAGCGCCTGTCTTCTCCCGCAGCCTTCCCGGTCTTTGCTCGAGGCCCGATCACTGCTCGACGCCTTCCCGGTCCCCGGTCCTGGCTGTGGCTAGACTTGCCCGGTCTTTTGTCCGCAGCGTCCCTCCAGGTTGCCCACCTGGGCCTTTGGCTGGGCGTATTTCCGGCTTCGGTCCGCCAGCAGTCTGCATAGATCTGACACGCGCAGTGCGCTTGTCACAAACGCACTGAATGCTCGATGGCAAAGCCAGCCTTCCCGGTCCTTCCTGGACGCCTTCCCTGTCTTCTCCAGGGTCTTCCCAGACTTTCCTGCTTGCTGGAGGCCTTCCCGGTCTTTCCCCGCAGCCTTCACGGTCATTGCTCGACGCCTTCCCGGTCATAGACCCCTAACTGACTAGCGATGGCAGCGTGGCACTTTCTCCTGATGTTTGGAGCATACTTTCCACAGCCAGATTCCGAAGCATAGTTTCCGAAGCAGTCAGCGACCCCCCCCCCCTTCCCCGACCCCAGGAGGCCACAGAAATACCCCAGCCGCAGAAGCGGCGCGGCCGCAGGTCATGGGTCTGCATAGATCTGACACATGCAGTGCGCTTGTGACAAACGCACTGAATGCTCGATGGCAAAGCCAGCCTTCCCGGTTTTTTTTGGACGCCTTCCCTGTCTTCTCCAGGGTCTTCCCAGTCTTTGCTGCTTCCTTGAGGCCTTCCCGGTCTTTCCCCGCAGCCTTCACGGTCATTGCTCGACACCTTCCCGGTCATAGACACCTGACTGACTAGCGATGGCAGCGTGGTACTTTCACCTGGTGCTTGAAGCATACTTTGGTCGCCTGGTCACAAGTAAGTGAATTCCATGGTCATAAATATGGGAAGTGATGGCAGCGTGGCACTTTCTCCTGGTGCTTGAAGCATGATACTTTGGTCGCCTGGTCACAAGTAAGTGAATTCCATGGTCATAAATAAGGGAAGTTGATGGACAAATATAAGCAAAATGCGTATGGTCAGAAATATGTGAAAAGTATGGCCATTTTTGAGTGCCGAGCCACGTTGATACCCAGGTGGGTATCGAGCTGGGCACAGACTGGGTGAAGTTCTGCCTGCCCCTCGGCCGCTCTTTTGGGCGGGCCGGCTGGGTCCATTTCGAGCTGAAGGTGGCAAATATGCATTTTCCCGGATTTCCCGGGAACTCCCAAACGCGCGCGGTTTTGGAGTGTTGTGTGTTGAGGGTTAGTTTCTGTGATATAATGACTAAGTGGAATCCGCTTCAAAGTTGATTTATTCAAATCATAAGTGACAACTACTGTGAAAATTACTAAGTTGATTACTAAGTTGATCAAAGTTGAATCAACTCAAGACCATGATAACCCACCACAATACAGCCGCGAGCTCTATCGGATCGGCGTCCGCCGATAGGATCATGAAGTTCAGCGAGCTGCCCGCAGCGGTGCTGGAGAGCTACTACCAGGTGCCTGGGGGAAGCGCTCGTGTTGTTTTTTGTTTTGTTTTTGTTTTTTTGTTTTTGGGGGGCGTTTGGCTCCTTCCAAGTTTGCTCCAGGTTTCGGGTTACACGTCTTTTTTTCTTGTTCTTTTTTGGTGCTCAGACTTTTGGGCAGACCACTTTCTAGGTCTGCCCTTTTACCACTTTTTTTTTGGGGGAGGGTTCCCCTACAAAAATAGACAAAACCGAAAAAGTTGGCACCAACTTATTCTAACCTCTCTGCTGGAGGACCTAGTCTTGGTACGTGAGCAACAGGGTTAGGCTTCAAGATTGGAGAAACTCTCTCCCTGAATTCCTAGGCTGGATGGTTTTTGGGGGAAATTCTATCGCGTTTTGGCGGTGCACGCAACTCGGGTTGCCATTTTTGCCCGGCTAAACGCTCTTCCCTTTGGTGTCCTTTGGCGGCATTACGGCCAGGGCTTTGGTGTCTTTCGTATGGGGGCTGGGGGGGAGGGAGGGGAGGGGGAGAGAGCCCAAATAAGCCCTAAATAAGGCCTTAAAAAGGGCTTAATAAGGGTTTTCTTGGGCTCCCTCCCCCTCCCCTCCCTCCCCCTCAGCCCCCATGACTTTCTGGCAAGGGGCTTTGCTGATGAGATGCCCCTCGGGTGCGTGGGCTTCGGGCCGCTCGACCAAAAAGTACTTCGTTTTGCCTGCCTTTCGGGCATGACAGGCCGTTTGACACATGGCTCGTGTTTTTGAGGGTGCGCAGTACCCCTATTTTGTGTTAGTTGGAAGGGGGAGGGCTGGACATCTCAACGTGAGAAAGAACCGAAGCGGTTCCCGGGACCCCCCTTTGAGACAAACCCGCATGTTTCGGCGCAACGCGCGATTTCCATACATTCGATTCGATATGTCCCATCGCCAAAATGCAAGGGCCATACGGAGAACGTGTGAAAGGACATGTTTTATTGTTTCAATTGTTGATCAACTTAAAGGCCAGTTGCTCAGTGGCACCCTTTTTCCACCTTTTGGTTGGGAAGGGTTTCCCTTCAACCAGGAAAACCACATGAATGGACCCTGCCCCCGGTTTTCCCGGCCGAGATCGATCCGTTGAACTCCAGGTCTTGCTGGCGGACGTGCTGGTGTGCCGCATGCCCAAGCGCGAGGGCCCGGCGCTCAAGGTGCCCTTCCGAGGCCGGGAACGGGTTGCGTTGGCGTTTTGCAAAAAAAAGTTGTTCGCACGGCATTCGTGCTTCTTTTCCTTTTTGTGAAGTGACACAATTTGTGTGGAGGATGCGTTCCGCCGAGAGGCCGATCGCACGCAAAAAGTCGGAAAAGGCCGGACAAGTTGTTGAACGCTGTCCTTTTCACCTGTTGGTTTTGACCTGTTTGGTCGTTTCTTTAGTTCTGGCCCCAAAAGGTAACCTTTTTAATTCTGGGTCCGAACCGGGCAAGTGAGAACAACTTCCTGAGTTGCTGCGGTCACGTCCCGGGCCGTCTGATTTTATGCCCTTGTAAAACGGGCGCCGCTTCCGGCTTTCCGGGTATATCCAATAAAAGCAGGAGAGTCGAGGGCAGGCCCGTTTTCGGGCGGTTTCCTGTCACCTGAGCCACAATCAGCACCTGGGTAGATGAAGGTTAGTAAAGGACAATCCCAACCATAAATAGCAGCTGCGGCCGCCTTCTTAATTGTTTACATGGTTCTGGGTCGACGATTTTCGTCCCGGGTTTTGATCACGACTGAAATGAGTCCGTGTTTTGAACAGAACCAAACAAACCGAAAGCAGCTTGTCAAAGAACAGTGAAGAGCCCCGGGCCCCAGTTGCTGCCGGGTTTTGATTACGACTCACCCGTCCCTCTGACCGCATCCAAGAAACCGGAGGCATCCAGTCCTTCAGCCACGCGGCCACGGCCAAGCGCGTGGGATTCAGCGCCCTGCCGCTGTCCTCGCTGGTGCTGCTGCACTTGCCCCTGGCGGGCTTGGCGTTTTTTTTTTGTTTTTTTTATCGGGCGGCTGGGCGGCTGGGCGGTTCGTTCGAAGCCCTGGGAAGGTCGCACTTTCCGAGTTTTCGTTTCGGACCTGGGCCACTTTCTGGACGGAGACTCGGTCGCCCTTTTACACTTTTTTGGGGGAGGGTTCCCCAACAAAAATAGACTACTACAGAAAAAGGGTACCCTTATTCTAACCAATCTTCCCTGGGAAACCTAGAAAATATTTTTAGCGGTAAGCAAGAAGTCTGGTGATTTGTGCCAATCCAGTCAGGAAGTGAGATGTTGGAGGGACCCGACTTGGGCGAACGTTGGCATGGACGCATCGCACACCTGCAAATTTGTTCGCTTCCTTGTATTTCCAACAAATTTCGCGTTACCAGCAAACGTCTAACTTTTCGCAGGGGGTCTCAGTCCGGTCAAACTTTTTGAGGCACCCTTTACCTTGGCTTTGGGGGGAACCTGGGAGGAGGCCGGGATTTTGGGGTTCCGCTACTTTAACACACTTAGTAGGGTCTTCCATGCTTTGGGGTTTTTGGTTCGGCGGGGCATGGTGAAGTGCTGACCTGGCCATTTTGTCCGGATCGGCAAATTGGGTGTGTTTTTTTTGGGGGACCCCCCCCCAAGAAAATGTGGTTTTGGTCTGTTTTGGTTTCCCTTTGACCTTTTTGTTGGGGGTTCTTTAAAGCCACAAAGACAAGGTACCCTCAAGCAAGCTACACACCCAATCGTTTCCATTTGCTTAAGAATACGTTTCGGGTTTTAACGAGTATCCATGACCTTGGACAGATCAAGGTTTATTTCCGAGGGGGCGAGAAAGCACATGGAAGGACGGTCCTGTCTTGCTGTTTAGGTTGGTGTGTGGCTCGGTTGTGTCAGGGCTCGCCTTTGGGCATCCTCGCGGTGCTGGTGTTTCTGATCCTTGCTCTGCTGGCGAAGGCGGGGCGGAAGGCAGAAATCCCAGACGTCGGAGCTCCAACCACTTTCCGTAGGTCATAGGTGTCCGTTTTGGTGGTCTTGCCAGAAAAACAGAGGGGTTTCGATTCCTGGTGTACCTGGTGGTTTCAAATTTCCAACCTAAAAGGTGCTGCTTGGCGGAAAGGTGGTCGTTTTTGAACGCGTGTTTTAGCTCGTTTTTGAACGCGTGTTTTGGCTCGTTTTTGAACGCGGTTTTGCTCAAGTGTATGTGATTTACAGCAGCACGGCCATTTTTCCAAGTGTCCATGCACACCACGATGAGGCGCACGAACACGCACCACGATGCACGTGTAGCACATGCATGGCGCCGTGCTTTTGGGAGACGGTCGTCAACTCATCACCATCATCATCATTACCATCATCATCAACATCGTCATCATCACTACCAAAACAACATCACCATCATCAACATCAAAACCAACATCGTCATCAACATCATCAACATCACCACCAACATCTATATCATCATCAACAACACCGTCAACATCACCATCATCACCATCATCACCATCATCATCACCATCATCATCACCATCATCATCAACATCGTCATCATCACTACCAACATCATCACCATCATCAACATCAACACCAACATCATCATCACCATCATCAACATCATCAACATCATCACCAACGTCTATATCATCATCAACAACACCGTCGACATCACCATCATCACCATCATCATCATCATCACCATCATCATCACCATTATCATCATCACCATCATCATCATCAACATCATCATCGTCAACATCATCATCAACATTGTCAACATCAACACCATCACCATCATCAACATCAACGTCGACATCACCATCATCATCGACATCATCAAAGTTATCGCCATCAACATCCTCATCGCCAACATCAATATCATCATCATTAACATCATCGTCATCATCATCAACATCATCACCGTCATCATCATCGTCATCATCATCAACATCATCATCATCATCATCATGACCATCATCATCAACATCGTCATCATCACTACCAACAACACCACCATCACCAGCGCGCAGTCGCACGGTCACGCAGTAAGAGGAGAACGTAACTGCCCCACCCCGTTCCCCCCCCCCCAGCCCCAGGACGCAGTCGCACGGTCTTGCAGCAAGAAGCGAACGTAACTGCCCCACCCCACCCCCCCAGCCCCAATACACAGTTCCACCGTCACGCAGTCAATTACCCCCTTCCCAGCCGTAACTGCCCCCACCCCACCCCCACCCCCACCCCCAGGACGCAGCGGCACAGGCGAACGTAACTGCCCCACCCCACCCCCACCCCCACCCCCAGGGCGCAGTGGCACGGTCACGCAGCAAGAGGCGAACGTAACTGCCCCACCACCCCCCCCCAGGACGCAGTCGCACGGTCACGCAGCAAGAAGCGAACGTAACTGCCCCACCCCACCCCCCCCAGCCCCAATACACAGTTCCGCTGTCACGCAGTCAATTACCCCCTTCCCCAGCCCCAGGATGAAGTCGCATGGTCACGCAGTAAGAGGCGAACGTAACTGCCCCACCCCACCCCCACCCCCACCCCCGGGACGCAGTGGCACGGTCACGCGGAAAGAGGCGAACGTAACTGCCCCACCCCAACCCCCACCCCCCTGCAGGACGCAGTGGCACGGTCACGCAGTAAGAGGCGAACGTAACTGCCCCACCCCACCCCCCCCCAACCCCACGGGTGCCGCAGGATAGCCCCCCGATGTGTTCGAAAATGACCCACTCTTTGTTCGAAAATGATCCAGGACGAAAATGATCCAAAATCGGTGTTCGAAGAGGGGTTTCGATTCCTGGTGTACCTGGTGGTTTCATCATCTACCAGGGATATCCATCTATTTCCAACCTAAAAGGTGCTGCTTGGCATCTGCGTCTTGGGCTTCGCCGCGCGGCGCCGGCAGAAGCTCGCCAAGGGCCTGGAGCTCTTCGGGAAGGCCGGGAGAACGAGCGCTCGCTTTTCTGAGCGCTCGGTAAAGAGCGCGCGCTCGGTACATGTGCTAGAGGCTTGCGTAAATCGATGTGGGGTGTATTTTTTTTTGGGGGGGAGGACTCCCCAAGAACAAACAAATGTATATAGATGTATGAATGCGTGATTGAATGTGTTTTCCTTCTGGGCTCTCTTTAAAAAACAGAAGGGTATCCTGAAAAAGACACCCATATGATTGTGTCTTTTTTGGTCTTGAAGGAAAACCACCAGGATGTTGTTTGTGTTTTATCGCACGTCTGCAGGTAACATGCACGGCCCAGGGGCTAAAGCAAGCAAATCCAAAACATGTTTTTTGAGGATGACTTGATCTGGCTTTTAGGCGACTGTGGGCTTTTGCTGCATGCCAACCACATGGTAATTTCCAGCTGGGAGGGTTCCCCTACTCAAATAGACAACAGAATAAAAGGTACCCTTATTCTAATCTCTCGACTGGAGGACCTAGCTAGTGTTTTTAGGGCTGGGGGGCGGGTTGACAAGTGGTGAGGTGCGGGCGCTTTGAACACCGCGGTCTTCGAGTTGCGACGTGGCGACGTTGCGGCGTTCCGGGGAGGGGTGCGGTTTGGGAAGCCCAGCGTTCTGAAAATGGAATCCCTAGGAATGGCTGTGGCTCAAAAAACCGGAATTCCATCCAAAATGGCTTGCCCTGGTAAGTGGAAACATGGACCAAAACCTGCGGTTTGCCCCTCCGATCGTTTAATTTTGAGCCACACCCAAATGGATAGGGAATCTGTTTCATGTTTCTGTGGGGAAGGCTGGGCCTTTGGGATTCAGATTGAACTGAGGGAATGGCTCGGCCCCGAAAATTTCATTAGGCAGACTTTCCTCAAGACTTTCCCTGTGCAACGGCTGGGCCCGGGGCTTGTGTGGAGTCGCTTCGCGTGGGGACATGCAACTCCAAGTTGGACGCTACAAAATGGTCCCTGAGGAGCATGGAACCCAAGAAGCCGTGAGTTGTAGAGGGGCTCCTCCCCTTCGCAATTTTGGAACCCCCAGAATTGGCGGTTATTTTGAGCATTCCAGTGACCCCTGTTGCAGAGGAGCCTCTTTTTCCAAGGCGATGTTCATTTGTGGGGGGTAACTGGCCAAATTGACGAGCTCACCAGCTCACCAGCTCACCCATGAAGATCATCTACTCAAGATTCATGCTTGCAGACAGGCAACCATCCCCACCCCTAGTAAAAATGGCACTGGGGGAGGGGCGTGAGCCCTGGATTTCGATTTGTGGTTCCTTTCTCCGCCGTATGGGGAAGACTGGGTGACAGATGAATGGAGTTTGGGGACCCCACAGCCTCGCCCTCCTGACGGTAGGGAGGCTAGGGGTGCCTGGGCCCATCTGACAAGCAAGGGGAGCTCATGGTGAGGGTGGCCATGATCCGACGATCCCCCCCGCCTCGTGGAGGATACGGCTTAGAGGTTTTGATGGGTGATGGCTCCTCGTTGAAGGCCCAGGGTTTTTGAGGCTCCGCACGGATGGCAACGCAACATGGCAAGAGAGCCAACATGAGCCAACCCTCAGTTCCCATCTTAGGTAGAGGTGCCAAAAGGCCAACCTTTCATTTCTGGGCCCCTTGGGCAACTGAGAACCACAAATCATGGTTGAACAGTTTCGTTGAGATTCCTTTGTCCTTTTTGTTGGCCTCCGCCGTGCCCTTTAAATGGGGCTGGTCCAATCGAAACCGAAGAAAGCCAACCCTTGGCCTAGGCCGAAGTGGGGCCCGTCTGCGGCTTCAGAAAAGAAGCGCTGACCGGTCTGGTTGGATCGAAGGATGCGGACACTCTGAGTTATTGGCACGCTTCTCGTTGTGTTTGATGGACTCCCCATTTAAAACATACCCTCCACCAATCAACCTGGATGACAGGAAATTGGACCATGTCCTTTTCAAGGGACCGGGTCCCTGTCAAGTTCCATATTGTTGGTGAGGTAGTCAACCCAAGAAAGTGTCCCGTTTGCGGTTCTGAACACTTCCACGTGAAACGATCTGGTTGGTCAAGCCAAAGCCGAGACGATCTGGTCCCAAGGACCTGCCAAAACCGCGATTTGGATCACTTCTTCACGGCGTTTTTTTTTTCTTCTTTGCACGGAGCTGAACAGAATACCCTTCCAACAATTTCATGGCAGCTCACAGGCTGGTGTGGGAAGAACAATTTCCCTTTCGCGGAACACTTCCATGTCCAGGTTCTTTTGGATAGCCCTCCAAAGCCACAGAGGCACCTCAACAGGATCATCCTGTTCGCAACCTGCGGGGCTCTCCAGTCGTTTTTAGCTTAGAACGCAAAAGAGATGGGGGCGCCGTCAATTTCCCAAAAGGTTTTTCGGGAATTTGCGGGGTTGTCAAAATGGGTGTGGTTCCTTTTTTTGTGCATCCCAAAATGGCGCAACGGTGTTCAACTGCTTCCCTGTATCAAACAAGAGTAGCAACTCCAAAAAAGACGAGGCACCCACATGTGGCCGACTCCTTTCAAGGGACGCCGGGAAAGGCCAGGAAATATGGTGGGACTGTGACCACTGGGATGGCTCAATCCTGCTCAATCCCCGCAGCCCGGCCGACAGACCTGGGACTTTCTCACGCGCGCGCGACCGCGCAGACTGAAGCGTTGAGAGCTTCGCCATGATTCGACACTTTGGACGTTTAGGGAGGTGTTGGCCTTCGGCTTCGCCTGTTTGCTGGGTGTGTTCATTTCGACATTTTTTTTGAGACAGCAGCACTAAGTTTTCGAGAAGTCAAGAGAGCGCGGGAGGTTGCGTGTCGCCCCAAAAAAAGCCCCGGAGAACGTCGGCGCCGAATTGGCGTCGAAGAATTTGGCGCCATGGCGGATGAGGGCACCATGCAGAAGGAGGGGACTTATTGTCGGTGTTTATTTTATTTTTTTGCCTTCGGTCACCAGGGCTTCTCAGGGTACCTTCCCCATTCTTTACAGTTTACAGGCATCCTTCTTTCTACACAACCACCCAAAATTTCGGGGAACGATAGTTTAAAAGAATGGGGAATCAACCCCTAGAGGAGTCGGTCCTTTTTTTCGGGGTACCCGCCCGGCCTTCTTGGGGTAAAGGGGCGCCAAAGGGAAACTGGGGTCCGTCCAAGGGAGAACTGCGATCCCTGTTTCCCAGCAGGGACCATGTGCCTCTCCTACTTGTGAGGGCCGATTTTGACTTTTGTCCCCCCACTGTTCATTGCAAATTGTGCTGCCTAACAGAGTGTCCCAAAGAACGGGCGCTATGGCAGTCAGGGGTCTTGGTCACAACATTTCTCACCCAGAAATTGCAGCATTTGAGGCCAACTTTGTTTGAATGGATCCCATTGAGCCATTGAATCCCCAACTCGGATACGTCCAAGTCAACCCCCCCCCCCAAAGCCCTCTTGGAGGACTGCCCTTCAAAAGGGGCCGCGCCAAACCATGCGATGTGTCAAATGGGTACTGCAAAGTTGATTTCCGTGTTCATGCTGATTTCCCTTGAAACCACCCTAAAGAGGGTAGCCTCCATTGCCAACCCGGGCCCCCTTAACAAGGCCAATAGCAAATGGGCTCCCTACATTAAGCATCCTTAAGTCCTTACGAGCATCCTTAAGCACAATGCAAGGAGCTAGAGGGATTGCCAAGGGCCACCTTTATCCCTCGTCCACGCTTTCGGCGCGGCCTCTGCGCGGGGTCATTCCCGGCACCGGGAGGAGCTGCAGCAGCTGCGGGACACGCTGCGCTCGGACCTGCAGAAGATGCTGGACGACCAGACCCGGTTTCTCGAGCGCCTCGTGGGCGAGGCGAGGCGACTCCGCGGTGGGGTCGGCGAAGCGGCGAAGCGGCTTGGGCGGCGTTTGGGGCGTTTGGGGCTGCCGGGGGTTCGTGCTTTGAGTCACCGCTCCCTCAGGGGATTGCGATTGACCGCAGGATAGAAGGGTGTTCCGTTTTCGCAGTGCTGTTAGTGGGGATTCAGACGACTTTTGGAGGGAACACCCACCAAATAACACGACGGGTTTAAATTACGTGATAAATCTTAATCACGAGGTTGGTGAGTTTTTCTTGCCAACCCACTTGCCCACCACTTTGCTTTGGTTGCCAGCCTCACTCGCCCTAAGCCGACCTTTTGACCTTTTAGTTTCTCCCTTTTGGTCCATTTTTAAGTCATGGCGAATCAAGAGTCTTGGTACCTAGCTTCCGTCGCCAAGTGTGGAAGCCGCAATGGCAACTTGTGTTGCGGCTCGCCCATTTCTACTCCAGACGGTCCAAGGATTTGACCGGCTTGTATGCCCAGGTGTTTGTGTATGTGAGGAAAGCGGGATGTCCAAAGGCTATAATAGGATACCTAGGTGCCCTGATGTATTGCTTGTTTGTTTCAACCATGTACTACACTGCCTACGCATGCGGGTTTGTATCTGTGTGGAGGTACGTTACCGTTGTATCAATGTATATTATGAACGCGTGTGTGTATGTACATAGTAAGCGTATGCGAACAAGTTGGTTATGTTTATGTATGTGTCCATGTATATCTACCTATGTACAAACAGAAAAAACATACATTTGCACTGGCTATGGTGATGCGCTTCTGCTTCATCTTCGTTTGTACCATGGCCAAAATCCCGGGCTCAAAATGCAGCTTGGTGTAGGTCGCAATAGCGGTAAACGTGCTGCCTCCAACTTAGGAGGTCACTTTTCAGCACCGCATTGGGATACTCACCTGTTGGCCGTGTCAAGAATTGAGCATGTGCATCCAGATTGGGTGCACCTTGTCAAGCTGGACGCCTAACAATCTCGCAGGTTGGTTGGTGGTTGGTGTGTTGGTGTGTTGGTTGGTTAGTTGGTTGGTTGGTTGGTTGGTGGGTGGGTGGGTGGGTGGGTGGGTGGGTGGGTGGGTGGGTGGGTGGGTGGTGGGTTGGCGGGCGGTTGGCGGGCAGCGGGCGGGCGGGCGGGCGGGCGGCGGGCGGGCGGGCGGGCGGGCGGGCGGGCGGGCGGGCGGGCGGGCGGGCGGGCGGGCGGGCGGGCAGGCGGGCAGGCAGGCGGGCAGGCGGGCGGGCGGAGCGGGCGGGCGGGCAGGCAGGCAGGCGGGCAGGCGAGCGGGCAGGCGGGCGGGCGGGCAGGCGGGCGGGCGGGCGGGCGGGCGGGCGGGCGGGCGGGCGGGCGGGCGGGCGGGCGGGCGGGCGGGCGGGCGCGGGTTTCGGGTGGGTGGGTAAGTTGGTGGGTGGGTGGGTGGGTGGGTGGGTGGCTGAATTGGTTGGATTGGGTTGGGTTGGGTTGGGTTGGGTTGGGTTGGGTTGGGTTGGGTTGGGTTGGGTTGTGGGTTGGGTTGGGGGTTGGTTTGGGTTGGTGGTTGGTTTGGGTTGGGTTGGGTTGTGGGTTGGGTTGGGTTGGGCTGGGCTGGGTTGGGTTGGGTTGGGTTGGGTTGTTGGTTGGTTGGTTGGTTGGTTGGTTGGTTGGTTGGTTGGTTGGTTGGTTGGTTGGTTGGTTGGTTGGTTGGTTGGTTGGTTGGTTGGTTGGTTGGTTGGTTGGTTGGTTGGTTGGTTGGTTGGTTGGTTGGTTGGTTGGTTGGTTGGTTGGTTGGTTGGTTGGTTGGTTGGTTGGTTGGTTGGTTGGTTGGTTGGTTGGTTGGTTGGTTGGTTGGTTGGTTGGTTGGTTGGTTGGTTGGTTGGTTGGTTGGTTGGTTGGTTGGATTTGGTTGGTTGGTTGGTTGGTTGGTTGGTTGGTTGGTTGGTTGGTTGGTTGGTTGGTTGGTTGGTTGGTTGGTTGGTTGGTTGGTTGGTTGGTTGGTTGGTTGGTTGGTTGGTTGGTTGGTTGCTCGTTGGTTGGTTGGTTGGTTGGTGCTCGTTGGTTGGTTGGTTGGTGCTCGTTGGTTGGTGGTGGGTTGGTTGGTTGCTTGGTCGGTCGGTCGGTCGGTTGGTTGGTTGCTTGGTTGCTTGGTTGCTTGGTTGCTTGGTTGCTTGGTTGCTCGGTTGCTTTGTTGGTTCTTGACACGCGCGTGATCCCAACAAGCACCTTCAACCAGCAATAGCGGCAACGGCACCAGCAACGGCAGCAGCTCCCGTTGAGCAGAGCCCCATCCCAGGGCACCCTGCTGAGTATTGCGTCAACGTTGGGGGTTGCATGGTGGCTATACCCCTTGAACCGCTCCCCGCAGTGCGGCCAGAACACTTTTGGGAGTAGTGGCGGGGAGGTGCTGGTCGGCGGTGGTTCCGTTGCAAGAGGTTCAAGCCTAATGGAGGAGGGTGCTCTTATGGCAGGGATTTCGGGTAGCAGCCAAGTTCAATTTATTTGCCCAAAGCGGCCAGCTGTCCTCAACGTCGCCCATCTGCCAAGCATATATCATTCCGAATGGGCCCAAACAAGTTGAAGTGCCGTGAATCCGTGAACACACACACACAAATGATTATATTTGGTTCTGCGGCGTTGCAAATTGGAATATAGACGGCTAAGAAGATCGAGCAACATGTCATGTTTGGCATTTGCCAATATATTTCGCAATTGGAGATGGCATCTTGCGCCACACTATTGTTTCTGAGCGTATTATATATATGCAGAAATCAATGTAGATAATTTCTAGCGAATGAATATTTCATTTGCGCTGCCTTTGTAGAATTATATATTTTTGTATATATCTCTTTTCCAGAAGGGGCAGATCATTATATTGGACCTGTTCTGAGACTTGGTAATTTCTGCGTTTTATGCGTACGTGCCGTGTTAGGAGCGCTACCTGCCTGCGCTACACGACCGTTGTTCAGCCCACGCGCACAAGAGGAAAACTCCGCCAGGCAGATAATGCTGTTGGACCTTTTCCTGTAAAACAAACGCTCAGTGGATTTTCGCAAACCAATTTGCAGTAATATATATCTGTATATACCGAATGTCGCTTTCTTTTAAACACAATAGTCAAAATATAGTGGTGCAAGTTAGTGTCTGAGCGAGGCTTGCAGATAGAAAGAGTTGGCGCGTGGATTGTTTTGCGCGGTGCACAAATAAATATCTACACTGATGTGTTTGGTTTATTTTGCTGGCGGATGCGTTTGGCTCAAGATGTTGAAACGTATTTTGCATTTTTTGCTGGGGAGCTTTGGCTCGAGATGCTGAGGCGCACTCCCGTGTAAAAAACCAGAGAACATAGCTTCATGGGTCGGGCGAGACACCAGGAAAACCAAAATTCGGAGGTACCTGCACAGCCCAAAAAAATCGAAAAAATGCCACCAACACCTACCCCAGACGTTCTACGGCCTGACCAACAAGTCGCCCGACTGGGAAGGCGCTGCCTCACTTGCGATTCCTGCCTTGTGGCTGGTGGCATACGCGAGATGAGTTGCGTACTTCCTGCCTCAGGCTTGAGCTGGCTACATCAAGCATGTCCCATTCAGCGCTGGCTGTTGCAGCGTCAGCTTTGTGCTGGGTAAGTTTTGGCAGATTATGCACGTAGCCCTCAGTGTTTGTTGGGATCACGCTCGCCCATTTTTCCACTAGATGGCAGGCAACAGCAATTTTTGCCCCCACATCAAAGGCCCCTCTCGCCACCTTCACATGGCGATAGTGCTCTAAAGCACAAGACGTGGTTATCCACCTGGGGGTAAAGAGCTTTAATACTCAACAGAATGATTGCTATCCCTTGAACCAACCCCGTGAGGCCACGGGCCAAGGAAAGGGAGTTTTGTCCATGTCACATCGACGTTTGTTGAGGCCTCGGGATTTTTCTCCTTGGCCGGGCGCCAGGGGAAGCCCAAAGCGCAAGCCGGCGTGGCGCCGCCAGAGCAGCCCGGCCGACACCGGTGGCTTAAGAATAGTGTGTCTTGTCCACAGAAGCTGCCCGCAAAAAAATGACCCACCGTTGTTTGGTTTACTAGCTGTCGTAATTCCGGGAATCTGGCCTGGAACCCGATCCCAGCTTGGAATTTGCTTTGTTTTTTTTAGGGGGGAGGGACGCCCGTAGATGCTTGAACGGTTACCCTTACTCAGGAAGTGGTTGGTATCCCCAGTGAGTAAGCCCCCTAAGTGGGATTTATGCACATTCTATCCTTTACTTACGGGAATTATTACACCTCTGTCCATTAACATGAAAGCTGACTGAGGGTTCTTGGAAGACAATTTTATTTTTTTTATGGTGATTTCACGATTGTGAATGGAGGGCGATTAAGGGAAACAACTTACTAGGTGATCATCGAAGTGCCACAGCAGTTGTTCTCTGGCACCCTGTCAATCAATTTCTTTCCCTGGGTCTGCCAACAGTCGTCTACCCCAAGAAAGGTTTACTTTGCCTGTGTGTCAGGCAGACAGCTGTCCTTCTCTGTTCTAGTATGACACGCACGCTTGGCAGCAGGAATGTTCAAGCTGCCCTGGTTGCTTGATACCCTGTTGAGCAAGACTAGGTCCCTAATAGTGCCCTTTTACCCTTTTGTTGGGCGAGGATTCCCTTAGTAAAGCAGACTACAGGAAAAAGGGTACCCTTATTCTAACCTCTCTACTGGATGACCTAGAAGAAAGCTCATAACGAGGGCGTTCCTTTCTTTACCGAAGCCTCTGGGCGACTCGCGGCCTTTCTCGGGAAGCAACGAGATCGTACGAGATCGCCCGCGTGGCGTGGAGCCCATGGACTGAACGAACCAAAGAACATGGGGAGGCCAGACGACCCCGCTGCAACCCCCCCTCCCCCAAGCTGGTCAAGGCGGCACCACTGGACCCAGGATCAATGACCCCCTGGGTGATAGGGGGTGTGTCCTTCCCCCCCCTTCCCCCGGCCGGCCATTTTCACGCCGATGGGTGTTGTGCCTAGATTCTGGATTAACGCGGGATGGCCACTGCAGCTATTTGGTTGGAGGCATTTGTTTTATCCAAGCTAGGCATCAAATAACTTGCGTTGAGAACGACCCCCTGTGAAAGAAGCCACGTTGGCAGAGAAGAATCTGAAGGCTTCACCTGTTCCGATGCCTTGGAGATGTTTTATCTGACACGCAGCGTCGCCCATGTTCACACCATGTCTTGCTTGCTCAATCCGTGGCCTTGTTTGAAAGTGGTCTGTCTGAGAAGGGACGCCTTAGAATGCTACCCAAAGCCTGGCTTCCTGCGGGGCCTTTCTTATGGCCTTAGATTCAGGCCTTAACGGGGAGGAGGGTTGGGGATGGATGAGTTTGAATGTGTTAAATGGTGTGTAAGTAAGCTGGATTGCTCGAACTTAAACCCTCATTCTTGTGTTAACGTGGGTTTCCCTTGTCACTTGTAGTGGCAAAACAGCTTGATTAGGATTAGGGATTCCACAATTTTGAACAAGCCAAGTACCCACCAACACGGAACCTTAACTGGGGGTTGCTTTGGACCAGTTTCATACACCCCCTACTCCAATTACCAACTTCGTTCAGGGTCCCATGTCAATCCTCCACTATAAATCGAGGTACTGACCCCGGAAAATCACATTCCAAAAAACCATACTCCAAATACCCATGTCTTGCATGGTCTCATATCAACCCTCTACTGAAAATCGAGGTATTTACCATGCAACAACAGGGATTTCACAAAAGTAGCCTTAAACCCGCGGGTATTTGGAGTAGGGGGTGCAGCAACCCGCCCAAAGAGCCGAACACCTCGGAGCGAAACGAAGGCCGGCGAAGATGAGCCCCAAGTTGAAGAACAACAAGGAGCGCGAGAGTTCGCCTTCGGGGCAAAGCAAAGTGCCACGTGTTCGAACTCCCGGGAAAAATCGGCAGAGTTGGTTGCGTGGACCACTGGATCATCCCCGCTCAAAATGGTCAACTCCAAACAGGCGCCTTTCTTTCCCCATGCCCACCCCCCTTGAATATGGAATTGGGGAGGGGGGTGACCCCTGGAATTCCATTCATGGTTCCATTTCCCTTTTATGGGGAGGACTAGATACATGGAATTGGGGACCCCCCCCACCCCCCTCCCCTTGATGTCAGGGATCTTTCCCCTTGTTGTTGGCACGCCTCTGGAAACGGTCGACACGGTACCTTTGTCTGCCAGGGTTGCGCTTCTACCAATAAGACCCCCCACCCGTCGCCACCCGTTTAGGGGTGTGGTTCCCCCCTCCCCTCCCCACTTAGAGGCCGTTTCGAGCCGATGTGCGAGGACAGCCTGCATTTGCCGAACGCTGTACCTAAAGGCGGGGATGAGTGGGATGAAGCGTCTCTGGGGCCCGAAACTGGGTCCGTTTTTTATGGTGCCCTGATTGGGTGGTGGTTCTAAAGGGAAAGGTAAGGACATCCACCAATTTTTGAGCATCCGATTCCCATTCTCTGGCTATGTTGTATTTTGGGGTATTTTCTATGGGATGTGGGCCCAGGTTTGGAACCCCCGCAACGGAGGGCGAAAAACCGAGGGATGGTTTAGGAGTCATTCCCTTCCAGAACTGAGAGCCACAGCAAGGCCCCGCGAGGGTTGGTTCCCATCTTTCATGACGCAGGCAGCTGATGAAATCGAATTCACCGAGTTCAGATTGGAAGGGGGTGATTTTGAGTGATCTTCCCGAAGGGGTGGCTCCTGCTTACCTTTGTTATTGGTGTCTTTAAGAAGCCTTTTTGGTGTGTTCCTGTCGTGTAGGACCCACAAAATATGTGGTTTTGGTTTTGGTTTCCCCTTAAAACCAACCATGCAGAAAGGGTACCCACGAAAGACACACCCTGTTCACTGTTAGAGAAAGATATTTCTTTTGGACGAAATACGTTGGATGATTGTTGGTGCTGGGAACCCAGGATTCATAAACCTCTGGTTTATTTTGAGACATGAGGGCGTCCCATGAGAGAGGAGCGCCTTCACGTTTCGAAATCCATTGGGAACCCGTGAGCCTTACTCTGTTTTTCTTGGAAATGGACAATCTGGGGTTTTGCAGTAAGATGGTCAGCGCTGGTCAGAATGTCCCTTGTTGTGCTTGCATCGTAGCATGTCGACGCCTTGGCCTGAATATGACCAGAGAAAAACACCACGCGTATTTGCCACTGTCAAGCAGCAATGAACATATGAGTAAGTATTTGTATGTCTATCCTGGAACCTGGATCCGACCATTTACAACCTGCAATGTGTCATGAACAAAGGTCTATTCATAGGACATGGTTCTTTGGGACACCACCATTTGTAACTGGTTGTTTCAGGTTCCAGGTATATATGCAGGTTATCCATGGTCTATGTCAAGCCCTCAGACTGCAAAGGGTCCCCAGGATTGGGTGGCCGGCACCCTTAGGCAGCTTACTCGGTTGTCCAAAGCAAATCGACCGGAACCTTTCAGTTCTGGGTCCCTTAGGGGCAACTGATTTTATGCTCTGAAATGATGAGGTCACCTCCTCCGTAGTTCTCGATGGCCAAATGGGTGTGTCTTGTTTAGGATTCGGACCCCCCAAAATGCCAACACCACTCCAAAAGGGGCGCTTTCCAAGAAAAGGCACACCCAAGTGTGTCCCGGTTGCAGGGCAATGTGTTGCAGCCCTTGACAAAGACCCTCACCCCTCCGACGTGGCTTTTTTCCTCGGGGATCCTATTTGCTCGGAGGGCCGAGCGCCGGGGCCCCCCAAATGGAGCTCCCTGGAATTTCTCCCTTTGCACACGACCCCGCCAAAAGAATACCGGCGCCAAGGTTTAAAGCCGCCAGAAGGGGGAAATATGGGGAATCCTGACCTCGGGCATGGCGAGTCTTCAAGTTTTCTCTTTGGTCTCCCGGATGCCGCCAGAGCGGAGAGACTCGACGGAATCGAACCTGGAGGACGAGATGCCACTTGGCGGATTCGTGTAGACTTGCGACCTCTCGAAATATGCTGGATCAGGTATCCCTCAGTTGTCCAAAGCGCATCGACCTGAAACGACCTTTCTCATTTCCATTTTTGGTCCACTTTAGGTAGACCCTGGGTTCAAACCACCATTAAAACAATAAACAAAGGGGGTTCGTACAACCACCATTATTTACCTAAGGATTGTCATCATCTAAATTGAGTCCACCTTTGTTTTTGGGGCCAGGGTGGAGGTACCAAAAAAAGGCAAGCCTTTCATTTATGGGCTTTTGGGGCAACTGCGAACCCCGAAGTGGCTTAGGGTTTGAACCTGTGCTGGTTCTTGAACATGCACTTTCTGCAAAGGCATGACTCCGCATGATCAACCTCTTCAACCTCTTCAACCCAAGGGATTCTTGAGAATGAAATCAAATTTGACACATTTCAAGGTCTAGGTTGCCTGGCGCACGGCCGGGCGCAAAACCATCTGACCTCTAGACCGGAGGTTCGGGAGACCGTGGAGACCGGAGGTTCGGGAGACTGGGTCCGGGGCAAGCCCGAGTGCCCGGTTGCTGGGAAACTTATTTTACATTTCTGCCCGTAGTTTGAGTGGTTGAAATCCAACATCTTTTGGCTCAACTTACAGTGCAGCTTATTGTGGTTTAGCTGTTGGCTTAACTATCCAACCACTTAACACATGTTTGCTTTTTGTGGTTTAGTGGTTGAAATCCCCTGGTGGGAAATCCGACCACTTAACTGCTAAACTCTTTAAATCTTTGCTTCCCTTCCCACGTCAACCATGGCCGGGACAGGGTTCCACTTCTGCAACCCGGCCCCAAGGTAGACTAAAAAACAAATTCTCGGGGGGGCGGTTCCTTTTGGGGAGCCCTAGGGTTCCTACAACCGTCCCAAGACTGGGAGTTGTATAGCACGGAGCCTTATATGGATGATGACCTTAGTTGCAGATTACATTCCGAACAAGGAAGCATACAAAGGGGAACAGGAAAAAATCCCCCCCCCCCCCCCCCAAAAAAAAAAACAGCAAGAAACAGTTTACATCTTCCTGGCCAAGCAGGAAGACGGCTCAGACACCCAATGTACATCTTTGCTCCCCTTCCCGGCGAAGACCCGGGGGCCATGCGACCGAGGCTGATGGACCCGGTGATGCCCCAGGGGCCGCAGAAACGCGCCAAGGCGACTCGGCGGATCGGCGAATCGGCGCGGAGGGGGCGGCGGTCTGGGTCCAAAACCCCAGCCGCTGGGGTGCCCTTTTGACCGCTTCGTCGTTTTTTTTTTGGGGGGGGGGGGGTTCGGGCCCTCTACGGTTTTTTTTTGGGGGTTTCGGGTGCCCTACTAAAAAATGAGGAAAACAAACGAAAGAAGCTGGTACTTGCCCTTGTTCTAACCTGGCAAATCTGAAGGACCTAGGCGTGTTTGTTGCAGGTCTGGCGTCGAGGGGTGTCCCCTTTCAGTGGGGATTCAGATCACTTTTCGAGGGAGCGGCCCCCGAATAATGGGACGGGTCTACTTAGATCCTGGGTCAACATTAGCTGGAGCCTCACATGGGTATGGGTCAACATGAAGCCACCAGGATATGGGTAGTGCAGGGTTTACTCCTTGTTTCCATTTAGTAGGGTTCCATTTTTGGTACCTGTTTTTGATCCACACCCATTGCGTCAAAATGATGGGATAAGGTTCCTTGTTCAAGGGCAGTTTGAGGGTCCAGGCTCGTTTGTTTAAATAACGACCCAACCCCTGGTGCTTACAAACTCCGGAACAAAAAGGAGCCAAGCTTGAACTGTTTGATTGGGCAATTCCCTTTCTGTCGCTTGGGATGCCACCAACTGGCGGGTACCTGAACATGACCTTGGGCGATCGATGGATCAACTTTCCGGTGCTTGAACTCGTCGGAAGTGGGCGGAGCTCGGAGCAGGTATCCAGAAGCTTCTTTGGAAGAGGGAGCCTTCAGAAGCTCAGAGTTTTGGTCCACATGCTATGGCTTGCGTGCGCATGTGGTTTTCTCTTTTTTTTCCGGGAGAAAGTGAAATTCCGAGGGCGGCCGGCGGTTCCTTTTCCGGCCAGTTTGGATTCGGCGGGTGGATTCGGCCCATCGGTTTTGATTCGGCTGACTGGGTCCGGCACTCGATCCCGCCTGTTCTTTCGGGGCCTGAGGAGTTGGGTCACGCCCCCCCCCGCCTTTCCGCTTTTGAGGGGCTCGAAAAGTTGGAACAACATCTGAACTATAGCCTAAACTCATGGCCCAAGGGGGGGTTTGGGAGGGTCAGAACAGCCCAGCAAGGCCTCAAATCACATCAAAGCTAGATGGGGGCCGGAAGTTCGCTAAATCATACCCCACGCCCCCCCCCAACGCCCCAACGCCCAACCCCCCCCAAGCCCACCAACCACCCCACCCCCCACCCCGCAACCTCGTGGCCGTCAGGACGGCTGGGGCTCCGAGGAGGAGACGGAGCCCATGGCCGTCCAAACCGCCAGGGGAGGGCGGAAGTCCTTCTTTCAGCACCTTGGACGAAGGGCTTCTTCCCTTTGTTTAAGAATATGTTTGATTGTCGGGGTTTCGGGGGTCCCCTACTAAAAAAAAGCTACAGAAAAAAGGGTGCCCTTATTCTGATGTCTCTACTGGAGGGCCTAGGTGTTATTTTCCCCTGTTGGTGTTGAGATTGGAATCGATTTCACTGCTGGAAATAGGTTGCCTCTTCAGAAACGGGATTGCTTCTGGGCGGAGTTCGGGGGGGGGGGAGGAGGGGCGTTTAAGGGGGACATGTTTTGACCCGGCTTTTCGAGGTAGACGAAAAAATCATTTCTTGGGTTTCCTGTTGGAGCAAAATCTGAAAGCCTGGGTTCAAGCCTATCTTGATGGGCAGCCCTGGCCCTGGCGCCTTTTGCAGGCGTCCCGAAGTTCCCATGTTGGGTTCAAACGGAATGGATCGCCACTGAGTCCCCCGGTAGTGCCCTTTGACCGTTTCTCTTTTGGGGAGTGTTCCCCGACTAAAATAGACTGCAGAGAAAAGGGTGCCCTTATTCTAACCTCTCTACTGGAGGACCTAGACTATTGGAATATGATATTTTTTCCACGGGACTTAATCAAGTAGAAGGGAGAACACTATCCTTGAAGAAATGAACTAGGGACAAAGGTTGGGTGCCTCACTTCAAGTGGTCAACGGTCAACCCGAAACGGGTTCCAATTCTGTTTCTACCTTGCGCGTCGCTCGACATGGACTCACTCATGTGACAGGATGGCCCCAAAGAGACGTTGTGGAAAGAGCAAGCATTGCTAGGATTTATGCGGTTTATGGTTTTGCCAACATCATTCAAAGGTGGTCTCCAGCCAACCTCGTTAGAGCCACATGAGGGAGCAGCCGGGGCTAGTAAAAAGCCGGGGCTGGTTTAAAAAAAAAAAAACTCAACCCATTCTAAGGGGGAAGTGTGTCCTTGTGTCAAGGGTCTCCACTACCCGCCTAGGTCTTCGAGTCGTGTTTCAAGCATCTGTGGGTTTTTCCAGCTCAAAGGCGTCCCTAACGGGCCCAGGAAAGGGCTGTCTGCTTCCAGTTCTTTAAGAACATGTTCTATTTCCCCCGTTGGTTTCAAAGGGAATCGATTTCACGACTGGACATATTTTGCTAATTTTTCCAGGGGGCGAAGAAGCAAATTGAAGTCTCGCAGGTCCCGTTGATCCTGAGTTTGGGCCTACTTTTGTTCGCGGCGATTGGGCGGGCGAGACGCTTGCAGACGTTCGAGCAGGTTGCTTCTTTAAAAACGTCCAACAAATGTCAGTTTGACAATGGTAAGTCAGGCCCTTGCTCAAACCATTGTTTAAGCAAGGCCTGCAACGGGTTCCTTGCAAAAAGCAAGGCGCTCCCTTTGTACTGCGGGCAAACTCCTGCACCAGCTGGGACGGAAGCCCAAGGAATTCTGAGTGATAAGCCGCCAACCACCCACAAGTATTCAACCCAAGTAGAAGCGTTGGAAGCTCTGGAGTTCCACCATGTGTTCAGCCATCCTACGTGGATGGACAAAATCCGGTAAGCAACCCTGGAATGATGACCACCCTGTAAATACCAACGAGCGTTGTGGTTTCAACCATGGATTTCAAAGGTTTTTTAGGTGGTGCGATCTGGATTTGGAACCATCCATTGTAGCTACGGGGAGGCTGTCCTTGGAAAGCCTAGGATAAGGAACATCTCAGGGTGGAAGTCCATACCCCTGGTTCATACCCCTTGGCTTCCCCGGTTTCTATCCCACTTTGTAAGAGGTATGTACCCCTTTTAGGGAGAAGGGTATGAACATCAGCAAGCTTGTTCAGTTCATTTGCCCAGGGGTATGTAGAAGGGGTATGTACAAGCACTGGAGAGAAGCCCTCAAGTAGGTCTTCAGGGGTGACTGAGGGATCGGTCCCCTTTCCCACAGCCCTCCCTGAGAAAAATCCAATGGTTTGTAGGCTGGTTTACAAAGAAACCACACGGAAACCACCCAACTGATCGTCAAACCCCCCATTTTTACATGCAACTACTACAATGAATGGACAAAATGCTGCGCCGCGTGGAAACCATCGGGCACCATTGTTGGTATTTACACGGGATTCATCATTCCCGAGTTTCTTAGGTGGTGCGAACGGATTTCGTCCACAGTGTTGCAAGTCAAGTAAACCAACCACAAACCATGTTGGAATCTACGGAGTTTCCTCTGTTCCCTCCTTGACACAGACTTTGGGTTTCTTTGGGCAGGGGCTTCTTGACCCCCCAAACTCCCCCCCCAAATCCCCCCCCCCCCCAAATTCCCCCCCGAACCCTCCAAAACCCGTGGCCTTCGCGGCTTTTGGGATTTGCCGATAGGCGGATGCACAGCTCTTTATTGACGCACGGTCAGGAGGAGGACGATCAGGCGGAGGATGTTTTTTTTTGTTGCGGGTGGTGTGTTTTTCTTTTATGGGCGTGGCGTTGCTTTTTTTCATTTTGGCGGCGGGGGGAGGGAACTTCCAAACACAACAAAGTGTTATGTTCCTTGTGGTTGTCCCTTAAAACCACGATGAGGTGTGATTTTTGCTGGGGCTGGTCTTCTGGTTGGTCGGCTGGCTGGCTGGCTGGCTGGCCGCATCCCTTGCATCACCAGCCTCACTTGGCCCCGAGGTTGCCTATTGGCTCTGGTTGGGAGGCAGTTGGGAGTTGCTGGGCTGGTTTAAGTTAGGTGGGGGTTTAGATCTTTATGAGGGTGGGTCTTGGAGTGGTTTGGGTTTGATTTAGGCGAAGCGAAGGGTTGACATCCAGGCTGTTGTTGGGCGGGTTTGGGGTTGACTTTGGGTGGATTTGGGGTTGGCCTGGAGCTGATGTGTGTTGAGTGAGCTGCTTTTGGTTTCATGAGATTGTTTTGGGTTAAGACATGGAACTGACAAAATGTGGAGAAGTCTAACCATGCAGGTGGTGTCCTTTGAGGGACCAAAGCCTGGGTTCATTCCATGTCTCATCCCCTCTGGGTGAATTATACCGACCTCACACGACCTCACACGACCTCACCCCAAATGGTGGTTGGGGGAATTTCCCTACTGAGCAGTCGCCCCACCTGCCGGCCGGGGGGCCCCGGGCCAGGGCGCGCTGAAGCGCATGAAGCGGGGCCCCTTCTACGCCGGCGAGGATCAGGACCTCACCTCGCGAGCGGAAGATCGAAGCCGCAGCCCTTGCCACGCAGACACAGACGCAACCACCCCCCGCGTGTTTTTGATCGCTGTTTTTGACCAGGCGCGCCAGGTTTCCGGGGAGCCGGGGAGCAAAAACACGAGCTGGCCTGAAAAGCTTGGCTCAGCTTCGCTCCTTGGTTTGGATCCAGATCCAAACCCCCGGGCTTCGAACCGCCCTGTTGGGTTGCCTGAGGGTCTTCATGTGGTGGCCATTTCAGGTGGCAAGCCGTGGTTTGGATTGGCGGTTTGGTCCCTGGCCGTGCGGGTGAACAGTCGAATTGGAGGGAAGCTGGAAAAGTAGGGGGAGTGGGGGTTGGGGGTGGGTGGGGTGGGGTTGAGGAGGAAGTGGAAACAGGGGAAACAGCCCAACCATCAATCGATTCGAGGGAAGCTGGAAAAGGTAGACGGTTTCAATTTGCTGGTTCGATAGGCAGGGAATGCGAAATGGAATGACCCCAAGAAATTATTCCCAACACCCGGACTCGTCGTCATTCCCTACCTATGGCGCACCAGCTGGAACCCGAAACATCCATTGACAAATCGTGCTTTCCCAAAGAACTACTGTGGATGGACGAAATCCTGCACCACTTTGAAACCACGGGAAACCCTCGTTGGTTGGTATTTACAAGGGAATCGGGATTATCAGGTTTCTCAGGTGGTGCAGGATTTCGCAACCATCCACAGTATTTCCTCTGAATCGACCTTCCTGACGGACTAGGTCCCCCCTGCTAGGTGCCCTTCTCTCCCAACTTTTTTGGGGTTTTGGGTTCCCCTACTAACATAGACCACAGCAAAAAGGAAACCCCTTATTCCAACCTCTCAAATCTGGAGGACCTGGTGGATAGGGACCCTATCGCGCCGATCGCACGTTTTCAACCAAATCCGGCGAGAAGCTTCTCGGCAGGATTCCGTGATCCTGGACGAAGAGGCCTCACAACCTCGTCCCATCCCAGCGAGCGCTCGCGTGGGGATTTGCTTTGGGGCGCAGCGGGGGCACGGCGTGTCCTCGTGAAGACTCAGGCAACTCACTCCCTGAGCTCCTGAACTTTGCTTCCCATCCACTCAGGAATTGAGAAATTTCAGGCTGAGGTAAGCCTTAGTTGGCGGTATGGGGCCTTGTTTGGCGGTTTTGGGGATTTTGGGTTTCCTCTTTTTAAGATCAGCGAGGCCTTGCAAATGACCAAACTGACGTTATGGAAAAGCAACAGGCTGCTCAGAAGCCAAACCTTTCCGGTTCACTCCCAAAACCTGTACTCGGAGGTCATTCCCTACATCTCGCGCCGATCGCAAGCTTTCAGAGCCTCAGGTCCCGTAGGATTCTCGAGGCTTCCTTGGGGGAGCCTTAGGACTTAGGACCCCCCCCGCCACCTTGGACCACCCCCTTCAGAGATTCCATCATGTACCAGGCGCCACAAAAGCTTGGTGGTTCTCGGCCATCCGGTTCCTTGGCTTTTGAGCTTTTTAGTGTTTAGTGGTTGGATTTCCGTATTTCACACTCTAAAAGTTCGTCACTTTTGGCGGGCGATCTGATTAAACGGACAGCCCGGAAACCTTGGGCACCATCACTATTGGAGGGGCCCCACCCTCCAACAACTACTGTGGATGGAAAATTCTGCACCACCTAAGAATTTGTGGAATGATTCGATTCTCCTGTAAATCCTAATGAACAATGCTTCCCACGGTTTCAAAGTGGTGCGTTGGATGGATGTCGCAACCCTCCACAGAACTCGGACCCAACTCGGCAGGTCTACGACGTCACCAACTTCTACAAGGAGAAGGGCTGCGCGCAGGCCCTGGCAAGGAGCGATCGATTCGAGCGCCTCACCCTCTTCGTCATTTGCTGCTCGGCGAAGGGCCGGCTGGGGAGGCAGGGGGAGGCAGGGCGCAGGGGCACCCATGGTTTGGTGGCTTCTCTTCTCAGTCCAAAGCAAATCGACCTTTGAGTTTTTTGTCCAATTTTGGTCTACTTTTAGTAGAGGTGCCAAAAGGTGATCACCTTTTATTTCTGAAAAGAACCAGCCAGTTTGGGGTCCAAATCAGAATTTTCCTCCGTTCCCGGTGCCTCACTTGCAACCAAAGCGAATGGACTGGCGACCTTTTAAACTGTTGATTTTCCTGACTTGGTGTGTGTGTGCCATGTTTTTGGATTTGGACCCTCCAAATGTCTTAGAAAGCGGCCTGGATGTGGGTTCCACAAAAGCCAGCCCTGTAGGATACCCACAGGGTACTAAAAGAGTACTAAAAAGGAAGACAAGTTGAAATCCGCAAACAACAACGCATCCAAACCGTTTTCTAGAAAGAATATGGTTTTCCTTTTAGTTCCACTTATATCCGCAAAAACAGGGGGGTTATCCATATTTAGTCAAGTCTCCAAAAGGTTAGCCTTTTGTCTCAGGAAAAAATTAGGTTCCCCGCTCTTTTCGACCATTCTTTCGAAAGCCGACCGCCGTCTCCCCAAACGGTTTGGGAGGTTGTCGTTTTCAATCGGATCCCTGGAAACGGTCGGAAGGTATACCTAGGGTCCGGGCTGGGTGTCGATGTTGGCTCAAGGGGTGTTGGCTTGAGTGTGGTTCAGGGGATATACGTGAACTCGTGTCTGCGTAGCGTGTTTTTGAGGATGCCCTTCTTTGGGCGAGCCTGGAACAGTGTTTCGCTTGGGCTTCCCCAAGGTTCCCCTTGGTTTTTTTCTGGATTTCCTTCTCCTTTGGGTTTCCAATCGGTTTTTCTGGGGGTTTTCCTGGGGTTCCTGGTTTCGCTGGGTTGCGGCGCTGGCACTTCCAAAACGAGGCCTTGCCTTTATATATGGCTACGCTATTTGGTTCCCTGATGAAATGGGTGGCTTCTCCCTGACGTTCCATTTGCAGAAATTCAGAAAAGGGCGCCCTCGAAAAACACCCATTTGAGCGGATCTTTGGGGATTGAGCCGTCCAGAATTGATGCCCTTGTCGGAGAACCACGGAGGGTGGCGACTGAATCCTGCGAGCTGCTTGTCGGTAGTGGGGCAATTGTTTGTCAACTTTACTGCAGACAGAACAGGATGCCCAATGACGCCATGATTGCACGACAGAATGCAGCGCAACCGACGAAAAGCAGGGAAGGCATTCCGTGGTCGTGCTTTTATTGGAGTCACTTTGTGGGATTTCTACATCCACTCAGGTAACCCCAAATTGGTTTGGAGCCGAATCGGTGGTTTGGATTTGAACCCCTTGCGCACGTGAGAGTTTCCTATTTGCCATTCCTGGCCCGAATGAAAGCACCGGGCTTACCAAGTTGTGGGAAGCTGAAGCACGCAGCCTTCCGAATCGACCGTGGCATCACCTGCTGTGTCCAAAACCTCGGCCTTTCGCCGTTGGTGTGCGCGCGCCGAAGGGCATGGGGCATGGATGCAGTCTCGCTTGCTGAGGTTTGAATGCCATCTATATTGGAGTGGATGCTGACAACAATGATGCTGCTACCTTGATCGATGCCAGCTGCCAGCACATTGTGTGGAAAATGTGTTTAGTTGTTTGTTTGTTTGTTTTTTAATGGTTTCTTTGTTGTGTATATTTGCGGCTTCTTGCTTGCTTGTTTGATGGTTTGCTTGCGTGTACTTGCCGACGGGGCGCCTGGCTTTTCCCTTAGGTCTTGGAAGTTGTTGATCCTTTTCCGGGTGACCTTGGCTGCCTTTTTTCTGGACATATCCGTGGGAATTTTTACGCTTCGACTTGTAAAAGGAATTGCGTTTAAAGGAAAGCTGGATTTTGCCTTTAGGGAGACTCTGCAAGAACCAGTCTTTTAAAACATGTTCTTCTTCTTTTTTTTGAATGCCTGCGGGTAAAACTCACCCATGAATCAAGGCCCCTTAGTCCTCTAAATCAATGCTGATTGAAATGGGTGTGTGCTTTTTGAGGTACTCCTTTTGGGGCAGTACGGGTATAAAGAGACAGCCCCCCCAGCCCCCCCCCCCAAAAAAAAAGAAGGAACAGGAAGAGCAGAACACAAACTGAGAACAACTTTTTGGGGCCTCCCTATTTTAGGCATATGCCAAAACATAGTGCTTATCGCGCATGGGCAAGCATCATATTTGGCATGATGCGTGACCAAAAGCTGAAGACAGGGAACGAATCATGTGGTTCTTTGGTGTCGCTTGCCACGGTCAAGGTAGGAGTTGTCAACCCGCCAGGGATTCTATACACAGTGGCACCATGTGGCACCTGTTTTTTTCTTTTTTCTTTTTGGGTGCAAAGGGTTCCCCTTTTCTCCAGGGTCACTTAAGCAAATGGAGGTATATACAAAGGAAGCAGCCATGGCCAAGGCCCGCACTGGTCGCGAAATCCATCCGCACCATGTAAGAAGTGGTTTCTGATGACTTTCTGTAAATACCCTGACCTCCTGAGTTCATGAACTTGAAACTTTTTGGGGCCATTTTCGTGGTAAATATAAAGTTTGAACTTTTTTTGGGCCATCCACTCAGATACCAACGAACGATATGGTTCCCCCTGGTTGGAATGATTCTTTCCCTGTAAATGCCAAGAAATGATATGGTTTCCCCTGGTTTCCAAGTGGTGTAGGATTTCGTCCGTCCACAGTAGGTTCCTGCAGCTCAAAGGTTCCTGTAACGAACAATGGGTTCAACCCTGGTTTTAAAGTGGTGCGAAATGGATTTCGTCCATCCACAGTATGGCACCCCATGGTTGCACGGGCTTTCTCTGTCTTGAAGCGAACACTTCGAGAGATTCTCCACTTTGCTTTTGGGTCCCGGGAATTTCCCTTCAAGCCAGCATGCACAGGGTATGTTTAACTAGGTGTCCCAGTAGTGCCCTTTCTCACCCCTTTTTTGGGGAAGGTTCCCCCACTAAAATGGACCACAGAAAAAAAAGGGCACCCTTATTCCAACCTCTCTACTGGAGGACCTTGTTTAAGGATGTCTTGCCAAATCTTGCCAACATGGTTTTGGTTTGGCCTTTCTTGCTTCTCAAGAAGCAAGGCGGCCTGGCCGTATCAGCTGTGCGACAACCTCTTCTGCATCTTCTTCACGCTCCTTGGGCTTAAATATGTTCCAGTGAGTCCTTTCCTTAGTAGGTAGCTGACCCCGTTAAAAACCAGCTGGACATGGCTTAATGTTGATCCCTACAAATCAGCCCCCCAGTTTGTGAATAGGAGGGTGTTCCCAAAAGTGGTCTGATTCCCCACATTTCACCCAGGGAAAAGCACCCCCCGAGCAATACACTGGGGTTGATTAATAGGGGGTTAAAGGCAAAGCCATCTAATGCAAACCCTCTGCCCTTTTGTAGGTAACTAGGTCCTCCCTGTTTCTGTAGGTCTATTTTAGTAGGGGAGGCCCTCCCCCAAACAAGGGGAAAAGGGCACTACTAGGGGCGGCCTCGCAAAAAAAGGCTGCAGTGCCCCGTGGCGGCTCAGTCTTTGAACCGTGGCAAAAGCATCCCCACCCCCTTAAAAATGGAACTGCAGTGGTGGTTCCATTTTCCCCTTTTATGGGGAAGACTAGATAAATGGAATTGGGGACCCCCACCCGCCTCCTCCTGAAGGTAAAGGGGATGCAAAAGCCACTGCTCCTTGCAGCCAAGTGAACAGCAGATCATGCAAAGTTCCTGAAAGCGCATGGGGCTGTTGGACTGTTTTCTTGGAATGTTTGCGCGTCACTTCGCGGTTCCCTTAGCTATGCGTCGGGTCACATGGCTCAGGTCCGGGGTTGTGGGATCACTCAGGGTTGACCCAACTACTTCAGTGATACAAGTTGGAATCTTGTTTTTTGTTCTAGGTCCCCCAGTAGTGCCCTTTCTGTGGGTCAAAACCAATGGTACAATTTTGGGGTGCACCACCCATTTTAGAACCTATTTTAGTGGGGATTGAATCGGATGGATGTTCACTGGGGGTACGATTTGGATTTTGACCCATGGCCAAGTGGGCTCCATCTCCCCGCTCGGGGCATGGCATCGCATCCCGTGGCTCAGGTTTGAGCTGGCAGTACGCTTTGCCGCCTTTGAGAGCAAGCGCAACTGCATCAAGGACCATGGGCTGTGGGTCAAAGGAATGAGTCATTCGGTCGCCCGGCGCCCCATGGGCTCTCGAGTGATTCGGAGCATGTTCAAATGGCTGTGGGTCCAAAATCGGGTGGGGTCCCCTGGTAAATGGAAACATGGACAAAAAACGCGGTCCATATCCTGGTGGTTTAATGTTGACGATATCCCACATGGGCTTCACTCCCAATGGGAGCGGGAGCGGGGCGTTAAGACGAGCGATTCCATCCATTTGCCTATGTTATAGCGAGGTCCCCGATGCGCAATGCGGGGGGTATAACGAGCTCACCATGATAAAGGCCCCTTACTTGGCGATCCCTGAATTTGGACATAGTGTAGTCGCAGGGATGGCTAGATTTGTGAGCGTACCCTTTCTCAGTTGTCTTTAGGCGAATCGGCCGATCGAAATGACCGGACCTGGTTTTCCAAATTTTGGGTTCCCTTTTTAGGTAAGAGGTGCCAAAGGGTGATCCCCTGAGTCATTTCTGGGCCGCCTGAGTTAGGTTTTATCGTTCCCGGCCATCCGGCTCAACTTTTTAGTTCTTAGGTTCCCTTTTTTAAATTCATATACCTGGATCGCCAGTTGCTGCTTTTTTCCATGAACTTTGCCCCAAAAACCCAACAGTGACTGAAAAAAGCAGCAACTTGGCTAGCTAGGTATATAAATACAAATAAATACAAATATAGATATAAAAAAGCAAATATATATATATATATATAAACAGGTTTCACGTGGCTTTCTGGGCCCCACTTTGGGCTGAGAGCGGCTTCTCAGGCTTGGAAGTCACGGGAGCCGGGCCGGTTGTTTTGGGGTTTTGGGCCGTTTCGCCTTGGCTTTGTGTCAAACCCAAAGAAACTTCCCCAGAAAATTAGTTCTGTTTTTTTTAACACAACTGTTTGTTTTGTTTTGCGCCCGTTGTTTTCCACCAAGCCAGGCAAAAATATGTTTTGCTGGGGTCCTAATTCCAGCCAAGTAAGTTTGTTTTTTTTAAGCAAGAATACTGATAATAATGACAAATAATAATAGTACTACAACAAACAAGAAAAACGTGCAGTTTTGTTTTCCCCTTTGAACAAATGGTTTTGTTTTAGTTGTTTGGTGGGTTTTGTTTGTTTTGTTTATATATGTATACACTATATAGAAAACATATATGTAACAGGACAGCACCCTCAACCGCCTGGCTTTTTTTGCCACATCCCCAATATGTGTTTCTCAAGTTTTGCTTGGGCTTTGAAGGACATGTGGTTCGTCTTCGACTCCGTCCTCGCGCCTTGGGTTTGCGTGGTTTGAGTGGCAGGTGGGAAGTGTCAAATAGGGCCAGTTGTTGCTAGACCAATGTTGGCCTCATATTCAACCAACCGGTTTACTAATAGGGGGGGGTGGGATCACCACGACTGGGTTGAGGTGACGAGGTTTTCGAGGGACTCGATGGCAATATTGACCCCCATATTTTCGTCAGCCAACCAGTTTACTAATAGGGGGGCGGTTTTTGGCCACTCCAACAGTGGCCTGATTCCAACCACATGTCACCCAGGGAAAGCAGCCCCCCCTAAGAATAAGATATGGGGTCCATGAAGCTTAGTAGGAATCTTGGAATCCATGTGTGTGAGGGTGTGTCCACTTTTCATGGGGGGTTCATCATCTTTGGAGGGAGCGGCCCCCCATGAACAGGTTCAGCAATCCGGGATCCACAGTACCTTGACATCTTGACCTGCTGATTTTCCTGGTTTTGACTTTTAAGGCAGAAAAGCCTGTCCAGTCAATTGCGAGATCTCTGCTGTTCACAACTGGATGATTGGTTGCTGGTTGGTTGGGGTTTGGTTGGGGTTTGGTTGGGGTTGGTTGGGGTTGGTTGTTGTTGGGCGGCTTACCTTTTGAGGTGTTTTCCATGTTGACACAAAAGAACTTGTGCTCGCTCGACGGTTTGATGCGGAGAACCGACGGGGCGCACAGGTCCCAAACCTGCTTTGGAGGCGAGTTTTCACATTCTACCAGCCCATTGCTTAAGGAACAAATCCCCCTGTTGGTTGTAAAATCGAGTCTATCACAACTGGAAATACACTAGTCCTTCTTGTGCTTCGGGGACTTAAGTATATGCAGGCTACGGATATGGCTCTCAAGTTTATTGCAAGTGCTGTCCATTTGTGCGCCTGTGTATTTGCGCATTCGCGTGCACAAATCCGTGGCAGTTCGGCTCTGCTCACTTCCTCTCTCGCCCTCGCTCTCTCCCGTTGTCTCCGCTCTTTGTCTCTTTGTCTCTTGGTGTCGCTGTCTCTGTCTTCTCCCCCGGTAGAAAGGGAATTCACCATGGAGAGCTGCGCCCTGCGACTGCGGGCCTTGAATTTGGAGCCGCCCAACATCAATCAGATGAAGCAGATGGCGCAGCAGCGAGCGGTGAATGGCCGGATCCTTCATCCAGCGGGTGTCCCAAAGCATCTCTCCCGCCCAAAAGACCAAGTCGAGGCCAAAGCTCCGGAAGGCTGCCCAGATGCGAACTGAACCGATTGAAGACGTCAGAGGCCGCTGTGAGGCAAGGTCCCGTGACTGGACAGAATTCAAGGCAAGCTCCCGCTGCCAAAATGCCTTTCATTCAGCCGAAATAAGTCAGGGCTCCTTAAAAAATGCATTTTGCAAATTTGAAACATGGCTTTCTCCACCAAAATAAAGGGAAACCACCATTTACAAGGCAGAAGGCCAGCTCGCAGTATAGGCAGTGAGAGCCGGGGGCTCAGCGGCTTGGCTTGGGCGCATACCGTTTGCCGATCGGCCGCTTCGGCCGAAGGCCGCATTGATTGGCCCGCGACTTTTTGGACCTTGAGCCAGGTGGAATTCCATTCGAGGCATTTGGACCATGGACCTTTCTTGTTGGTAATGAGCCCAATGGGTCATGGGGTCCCTTAAAGAAAACCATTTTGGACCATGGGATGAGAAATGGAATGAGAAATGGAACCCCATCCCCAATGGTTTTCTTCAAGTCCCCGGGTTCATTCCGAAGGTCCCAACTTGCACCGGCAAGTTGGTTCTCCCGCAAAAGTCTAACACGAACCCGGATAAAACAAAAAAAACATTCTCACTTCCTGAGTTCATGAGCTGCTTAAACTTGTTGGGAGTACCATTTTAGTGGTATAAGTACGGTAGGGGGGGGGCATCCACTCAGCAAGAGAGCAATCATTTCCCACCAAACTCGCTCGAGTTCAATCCAAACTCGGGCTCCGGACCGAAACGTCCTGTTTCAATCGGAGGCGGGTGGTGTTAAAACCCGTGGGGGGCCCGTTCTTGTCTCCATCCCCAAGTTTTTGTATGCTTTTTGAACGCCCAAAGTGATATGCGGACAATCTGCGGGAACGATGGGCAAGATGTTATGGGAACTGCTTAAACCACCAATCCCAACGGGTGCAGTTGTCGGGTTGGAAAAACGAGAGCGGGCCTCCATGGTTTGCAGGCTGCATGGCTGTGGTTGCAAAAACTCGTCATGGTTTTCTGGGTCGCAGTGGTTGGGTTTGGTGTTGTGTGATTGTTCATTTCAACGAGGAAAAAGTTGCCACTTTCTGCAGGGCCCAGCATGTAGCCCGGCCCAGAGCAGAGATGCTGATTGCAAGCAGGCCTCATTTCCGAGGAGGTGCCTCGATACTCACCGGATTTTGAAAATGGTACGGTAACTTAATGAAGGAATGAGGATGCAATTTCTCGGAAGTGCGTAAGACATATTTTTGGTGTTGCAAGTCGACTGGTCTTCTTGTTGCTCAGATCGCCGAGAGGCGATTGCCTGGAGTGTCAAAGCCAGTCAGAAGCGTTTTTTGACGCTTTGTCTTTTTGGTGTTATGTGATTGTTCATTTCAACCAGGAAAAAGTTGCCACTTTCTGCAGGGCCCAACATTGTAGCCCGGCCCAGAGGAGAGATGCTGATTGCAAGCAGGCCTCATTTCCGAGGAGGTGCCTCGATACTCACCAGATTTTGAAAATGGTACGGTAACTTAATGAAGGAATGAGGATGCACCCCCTCGGAAGTGCGTAAGATTTTTTGTTGTTGCAAGTCGACTGGTCTTCTTGTTGCTCAGATCGCCGAGAGGCGATTGCCTTGGAGTGTCAAAGCCAGTCAGAAGCGTTTTTGTTGACGCTTTGTCTTTTTGGTGTTGTGTGATTGTTCATTTCAACGAGGAACAAGTTGCCACTTTCTGCAGGGCCCAGCATTGTAGCCCGGCCCAGAGCAGAGATGCTGATTGCAAGCAGGCCTCATTTCCGAGGAGGTGCCTCGATACTCACCGGATTTTGAAAATGGTACGGTAACTTAATGAAGGAATGAGGATGCAATTTCTCGGAAGTGCGTAAGACATCTTTTTGGTGTTGCAAGTCGACTGGTCTCCTCGTTGCTCAGATCGCCGAGAGGCGATTGCCTGGAGCGTCAAAGCCAGTCTGGTCCGCTACGCTGAAAACTATTGTGGCCTCGAATGCCGTGTGATTTGAATTGATGGCTGCGGCATAGGCAACTTTGAAAGCGACATGCCAATTGGTGAGCCCCTTTTTTGACGCTTTGTCTTTTTGGTGTTGTGTGATTGTTCATTTCAACGAGGAAAAAGTTGCCACTTTCTGCAGTGCCCAGCATTGTAGCCCGGCCCAGAGCAGAGATGCTGATTGCAAGCAGGCCTCATTTCCGAGGAGGTGCCTCGATACTCACCGGATTTTGAAAATGGTACGGCAACTTAATGAAGGAATGGGGATGCAACCCCTCGGAAGTGCGTAAGACATTTTTTGGTTGCAAGTCGACTGGTCTTCTTGTTGCTCAGATCGCCGAGAGGCGATTGCCTGGAGTGTCAAAGCCAATCAAAAGCGGTTGTCAGCTCCATTGCGCTGAAAACCAAAAGGAGCATTTTGGGGGTGTACTTGAATCTGCGGACCGAAACGGGTCCAATTTGCTCACCTTTTTCATCGGACAACTCACATTCCCCTCCCCATTTTGTGTATGCACGTGTGTTTGTGCGTGAGTTTGTGTGTGTGTGTGTGTGTTTTGCCCGGCCGTTTTTGAAGGGAACCTGCGGAACCTGTACTGTTGTTGGTTACGGTTGTTTGCACTTTCGATTTGTTGCCAACCTGATGGTTCATGGTTAGTAGTGCTTGGCCCAACCAAAAGGGTCTGTCCTTTTTTTTGTTTTCATTTTGGGGGGGGGGGGCGCACATTTTCCCTAAAGAACCGGACACGTGTTTTTCCTTGTTGGTTTCACGTTTACAGCCACAACAAATTGGTTCCCCAAGAAGGACATGTCCCAATGGCCCATTTGCTGACCTGGCAGTGGGTTGTGGGTTTCCTCGGTTCAAGCGCTTTTTTGAGTTTCCTCTAATTCTTTTAAAGTAATTAGAGAGAACAGTTTTCGGTATAAGCCAGTGGAGCTCGCAACCAAGACTCGTCAACTGCGCAAACTATTTGTTCAGCTTGTAAAACTGCACTTTGCGTACTCGACTTGTTGCTACAAAGTTGCGATTTTCCAGCTAAAGCTAGAAACCTGTACTTTGCGCGCTAGCCTTGTACTACAAAGTGGAATTTTCGAGCTGAAGCTGCCAACCTGTACTTCGCGCACTAAGCATGTACTACAAAGTTGCAATTTTCCAGCGCGTACTAGACTTCTAAGCAACGCTTCTAAGCAACACTTTCAATTCACACTTTTTAGCGACCCTTTTGAGCGACACTTCTGATCAACACTTCTTGAGCGACACTTTCTCTGATCAACACATCTGAGCAACACTTCTAATCAACACTTCTAATCAACACTTCTGACGACACTTCTGAGGGTCACTTCTGAGCAACACTTCTGAGCAGCACTTCTGATCGAAGCTTCTGATCCACACTCCTGGTAGACACTTCTGAGCAACACTTCTGACCGACACTTCTGGTCGATACTTCTGAGCGACACTTCTGCACAACACTTCCGGTCGAAAACTTTGAGCAACGCTTCTGATCGAGCCACACTTCTGATCGATACTTCTGAAGGACACTTCTGCGCAACACTTCTGATCGACACTGTTGCTCCACACTTCTGATCGACACTTGTGAGCGTCATTTCTGTCAAACACTTCTGTTCTGACCAACCCTTCCGAGCAACACTTCTGATCGACACTTCTGAGCAACACTTCCGACCGACACTTCCGAGCAGCACTTTTGAGCAACACTTCTGACCGACACTTCGGAGCTACACTTCTGAGCGACACTTCTGACCAACGCTTCTGATCGACATTTCTGACCGACACTTCTGATCGACACCTCTGACCGACACCTCTACTCGACAGTTCTGATCAACACTTCTGACAACACTTCTGAGGGTCATTTCTGAGCAACACTTCTGAGCAACACTTCTGATCGACATTGCTGATAGACACTTCTGGTAGACACTTCTGACCTACACTTCTGATCGACACTCCTGGTAGACACTTCTGAGCGACACTTCTCATCGACACGTCTGACACTTCTGCACAACATTTCTGATCGAATTCTTTGATCAACACTTCCGAGCAACACTTCCGACCGACACTTCCGAGCAACACTTTTGAGCAACACTTCTGATCGACACTTCGGAGTTGCACTTCTGAGCGACACTTCTGACCAACGCTTCTGATCGAGATTGCTGATTGACACTTCTGAGCCACACTTCGGACCGACACTTCTGACCCACACTTCTGACCAACAACTCTGAGCAACACGCCTGATCAACACTTCTGATCCACACTGCTCATCGACACTTCTGAGCGACACTTCTGAGCAACACTGCTGAACTGACACTTCTGAGCGACACTTCTGAGCAACGCTTGAGACTGACACTTCTGCGCGACGCTTCCGAGCAACACTTCTGATCGAAACTTCTGAGCAACATTTCTGATCGACACTTCTGACGCACACTTCAGAGCAACACTGCTGATTCGACACTGCTGATCGACACCTCTGACCGACACCTCTACTCGACAGTTCTGAGCAACACTTCTGATCGATTCTTCTGAACAGCACTTCCGAGCAACACTTCTGAGCAAACACACACACACACATGTGTATAAGCGTCGCTTGTGAGCGACGCTTCTGAGCGACACCTCTGAACACACTTCTGGGCAACACTGAGCGACACGTCTGAGCGACACTTCTGAAAACACTTTGAGCGACACGGCTGAGCCACATTTCCCCCACACGCATCAGCAACGCTGCTGAGCGGCACTCCTGAACACATATCTCCGCGACGCATCTGAGCGACACTTCTGAACGACGCCTCTTTTCAATGACCTTTACCCCTGATCAACATTTTTGAGCACGCTTCTGATCGAAACTTCTGAGCGACACTTCCGCGCAACACTTCCGATCGAAGCTTCTGAGCGAGACTTCCGAGCAACACTTCTGATTGATACTTCTGAGCGACACTTCTGAGCAACACGTTTGATTGACATTTCTGAGCGACACTTTTGAGCGACACTTCTGAGCAACACTTCTGATCGACACTTCTGAGCGACACTTTTGATCCGCACTT